CCTTCCTTCCTTCCTTCCTTCCTTCCTTCCTTCCTTCCCTCATTGCCACATCCTCCCATTTATTCTGACCACTCCCTAAATATTTGGGTGGCTACAAGGTGCCAGACCCTCTTCTAGTTGCTGGAGATAGAGAAGTGGGACAAGACAGGTGAGGTCTGTGCATTTGGCACTTTCAGTATAAAATGCTGTGGTAAACATTTGCCTTTAGGGTCTCCCTATGCTTACTTCCTCTGAGGGTAAGTGTCCCCGCCCCACCATTTCTTAAAGGCCTCTTCAGCTTGTTCACTGCAGCTGAAAAGCAAAGTCTCCGTGTCCATAGTTAGAGGTAAAAGATCAAACATGCAAAGTCCTGTGGGACATTAACATAGTTATGAATAAAATCAAGTTTTCATCCTTTATCTCAAGTGCTGACTTTGCTTCTAAACTCAGGATCTTTCCCCCTCCTTGACCACTGGTTGCTCACGATGCATACATATGCTCACCCTCACCTACTTCCAGAGGCTCAAACTGAACTCTTCATCTCCTCCATCAGTCTCTCCCTACCCTTCTCTGATCATCCCTGTCTTCATTCAAAGTGTTCCCATTCACCATTCACAAAAACTGAAAACTTCACTCATCTCAGGTTTTCTTTGCCATTCTCCTACTACATTCACTTGGCCACCAATTCCTCTCAACTCTGCCTTTAGTCATATATTTCAATTCCATCTGCTCCTCCCTTTTCCAACTGCTCAGAAGGTGAGTCAATAGTGTTACTGGAGCCTGTGAGCTGGAGCGATGAAAAGAGCCAACCAACAAGGACTACAGGGAATGGTGCCATCCTGGGGGCTCAGTGTAGGCCTCTGCTCTTATCAGTTTGTGCACAAAGCAATGGAGGAAGGAAGCCACAAGTCACATTAGCCTTGGAGAGGGAAGGCAATACAGCTGAGCCCACGCTTAGCCTCCATGCCGGTATCATGGCACCATACATCCAGCAAGGGGAAGCTGGGGGGAGGTTGGCTGACATCCATGGGACAGATAATCTTGTTCTCTGGAGGGCATTCCATGAGACACAAATATCTTCAAACCCTTCCCTCTTCAAGATATTCTTTTCCCAAATCTCCCCTACCCCAAATTCTTTATCACCAGTCTTTCAAGCTTGTTTTTTCCAAGTCCCTAAGATACCAGCTGGCCAACACATTAGCTGCCACCTATGAGTCAGTGTTGATCTTATATCAGGCCATTTCTCTTTCCATGAAAAATGAAAAAAACAGCTGTAATAAAAGTTCTGCCCCTTAGGAAGATTTCTCTTCCTACTCTATTCCAAGACATCCCTGAGAGGGGCTGTGATGCAGCAGCCATCCAGTTAGGACTGCTGCCAGCTTACTTGGCATAAAGCTGACCTTTCCTCTGTTACCTGGCTATCGAGAACTCCCCATGAAGCTACAGGTGTTTTGAAAATAGGATCTTTACAGAAGTAGTCAGGTTAAAAAGAAGTCATTAGGGTGGGCTCTAATCTGAGTGGTTATAAAAAGGGGAAATTAGACACAGAGACAGATATGCGCAGAAAGAAGATGATGTAAAAAGACACAAGGAGAAGATGACCATCTACAAGCCAAGGAGAGAAACTTGGCACAGGTTCATCCTTCACAGCCCTCAGAAGGAACCAACCTTGCCGATCCCTTGATTTGGGACTCCCAGCCTCCAGAAGCGTAAGCTGCTGGTTTGTGGTATTTTATTACAGCAGCCCTAGAAGACTACTATGCTTGGTAGTCTTGGTTCCGGGATCATGCTTTCTGTCTCTACCAGGGCCCTGGAGAAAGAGAGGAGTTGGTTTTCGTATAGTGAATAATTGTTGACTGTTGTAGCCAAAATCTAAGATGGGCCCCAGAGTTTTGGGGGTATTTTATTATACATCAATAGGTAGCTAATAAATTGGCAAAAAGGACATGAGTCCTTAGGCATACCCTCTGTGATTCTCTTATTGGGGTTTGCCAGAGGCCTTGTACGGTATCTCTGGCTGCCACAGACATGTCTAAAAGTACTGCATCTGCTAGATCATTAAGATACAAGTATCAGGGCAGCCTCAACTTGGAAGCCCTCTCTTGCTCCAGGCTCCATTTGAGACAGACAGACTTAGAAGCGCTTGGCAAATGGGTTGGAGAAGCACTTCCAGTTATGGTATATCATTTCTCCAAAATCTGAAGAGTTCTGGCAAACACTGTTCCTCTTCGTGGTGGGCATACAAGGTATAGTGACTTATCTTTCACTTTAGAGGAGATATCCTGGCATACTCTAGACTACTGAATTCCTTGAAACTTTGCATGATTTTCATGGGATTTACCCTCTACTCTGTGGCCATATTTGTCTTACTAAAGCACATAACGAAATCGCTACTTATGGTTCTTGAGGTCCAATTGGCATAATGTTACCCAGGTGATGGATCAGTGTGATATTCTATGGGATACGACCAAGGTCCTGGGAGACCATATTATGACAGAGAGCAAGAGAGTTGACGTAGCCCTGAAGTAAGATGGTGAAACTATGCTGCTGACCCTTCTAAGTTAAGAAAAACTCTTTTGGATGGTCCTATTAATTAGATCAAGAAAAAAGTATTCTTCAGGTTAATAGCCCCCAGGTACTAGGTCGATATTGTTTGACCCAGTAAAGTTACCACACTGGAAATGGCTGCTGAGGTTGATTCATAAACATTTTCCACAATTCATCTTACTTTTGCACTGACTAAATGAATGGGGAAATTGAGTGTAGGATAGAAAACCAGCATTCTTGCATTTTTTGGGTTCTTATCTTGTGATAATACCACCAGGGATGTGGTATTACTTTTGATTTTACTCTGTAGCTGTGGGGAAGGGACAGTTCCAGGGGCTTCCCATTGGCCTTTCTTACCGTAACGTCTCTTCACCAGTCAGGGATGCAGGCTAGAAGCTGAAAAAGGCAGGAGAAGAATTCTTCCCTAGAGCCTAGAAGGAATACACCACCTGATAGCACCTTGATTTTAGCCCAGTAGGACCTATTTCAGACTTCTGACCTCCAGAATTATAAGCTGATATATTTCTGTTGTTTCACATCACCAGGTTTCTAGTGATTTCTTTTTTTTTTTTTT